AGCCTGACGAATGCATTTTATAATAAATAACTTTTTAATTTTTCAGAAATTGTAAAAATTTCAAGCATATTTTTTTGAGGTGAACTGCATTGCAGAATGTGAGAGAGTTTTAAATTAGTTTAGACAAAATTTTCATTTATATTGTATACAAAAATTTGCATATCTATTTTATGCATTTATAGTTTAATGCATGTATAACCAATTTTCAACACAAAACCGATGCGAAGTGCACTTGGGCATTGGGTTGGCTGCAAAGCTTAATAAAAAAAAAACTTCAAGAATGTGTGAGATTTGTGGCAAAATGGTCAGCAAGTGTACGAAGTCATGTGAAACTGCTGAGTGCATATCTCACAAATACTTAAGCATGCCTTAATTTGTATGCTGGCATTTGTCTGAACAGTTGAGACAGCTGTGCCGGCCATTGCAGCAACAAACTAATTTGAAACAAATTCTTTGTTTGCCACCATTGTTGCCAGACCAGTCAAGTGTATTTGTTGCGTGTTGCATGTGGAATTACAAGTCGCATTGGCCAAATTTTCTCAGCATGTATGTATAGATGTGTGTGTTTGTGCGTGCACTTGCTTCTGTGCGTTGTAATGTTAAGTGCGTTGCATAGTCATTTGCCATGCTGCAACATTGTTATTGTTGTTAATGGTGTGGTCAGCCAAAGCTAATGGAAGTTTCATGCATTTTTACGCATGACAAAATAAAATGTATTAAGAATACTATGCTGCAGAGACAAAAGGGTTAACGTTAGGGGAGTTAATATTTTTTTAAACAAAAATTGCAAATAAAATACATGAAAGTTGCATAGAAATATTTCTTGGAAAAAAATAATACAAAGATGTAAGGAAAGCTTAAGTTCGGTTATTAGCGAACATTTTATACTCTTCCAATTTTCAAAAAACCAAAGAGATTTCCAGTTTCTATACAAGAACTTGATTTTGATCGTTCAGTTTGTATGACAGCTATATGCTATAGTGCTCCGTTGCTTTGGGCAATAATTCATGCCAAATTTCGTGAAGGTATCTTATAAAATAAAAAAGTTTTCCATGCAAGCACATGTTTTTGATAGTTTAGTTTGTATGGCCGCTATATGCTATTGGGATCCGATATCGGTGGTCCCGACAAATGAAAAGCTTCTCGGAGATAAAAGATCGTGTGCAAACTTTCACGTTGATATCTCCAAAACTGAAGTACTAGTTCTCGTATATAGAGACAGGAGGACGGACAGACAGACGGACATGGCTAAATCGATTCAGCTCTAATTTATTTTTAGTTTGCTAAGATATCTTACATATTAACCGATAGGTTCGAAAATCTTTATGTTAGGTAAATGTAGGCTAGGGGAAGTATTGGCCCGATTTTACCCATTTTTGGCATAAGATCACATAATTATCAAGAAAATATTCTCTCTGAATTTCAATAATATATCTCACAGTTTGACCAATATTTTCGATAAAAAGTCAGCCACAGGCTCCACATATTCGGTCCACATATTTGGTCTCTAGAAACTTTAAAATTTTAAGTCCGATTTTGGCAATTTTTGGACGTGAAATTTAATTGATGACTTTTTATAGGTTTAAGGTTAACGGTATTTTGTGGGCGTGACAAGGTCTGATTCCGTACAGCGTAAATGTCGTATGATAGAAAACTCACTTTCTCCAACACAGAATGTCAACTATACACCATATCTTAGAAGCGTCGGTGGTGGCGGCGTATGCATGCGGATTTATGGCATTTTAGCCATACTCTTATAACCTCTCAACTCGTCTTTTTCATTTGCTTTGATTTGAGATTCTTAAAAGTAATCTCTCCAAAAACTAATTATATGATCTTGGAGTCAATATCTCAATCTCAGTTACCATGTCACACTGGTTTTTTGTTTTGAATTTGCAGCTACTCTTTCAGTCACCTGCAATCTCAAATTACAAATATTGATATTCACCACTGCCGTTTTATTTTGTTTTCTCCGTTCGACGAAAACGTCTCCTTTGTTCCTGCAGCTCACAGCATCGTTTGGTTACTGATTAAATACTTCACTGTGGCTTACCAATCTTCATTGTCCGAATTGGCTAAAACACTTAATTAGAGTCTACAGAAGTCACGCATCGAATTTGAAATATGGTTACATTGTTATATATGTTAAAGTTGCTGCGATTTGCTCTCAGAGAGCAGCAGTTGAATGTGTATATTTCAATTGCAATCGTCATTAACTCATCAAAATTCGTCTGGGGAGTATTAATATTAAACCGAAACCCACACAACTGCAATTCGAAATCACAATTAGTTGTCTGAAATTTTAATAAGTCATTTATCGTCTGCCCAAGAGAGAGCAAATCGATATATTTTGGTGTATAGATAATATGCTCTAATAAACATATGAACTCATGTGTGTATGTATAAGTAATTGCTTAGTTTATATTGCACATTCAAGTATATCATATTGATATTTGGCTTTGTGCACTCTCTACCACTGTAACTATTCAGAATATAGTCAGAACTGTAAATATACATATATGCATTTAATGCTAGCACAACTGATTCAATTCATTAGGCAACAAACCAATACGCATGTAAATGTAATGCCATTGAAAGGCATTCCCCAGCGTCTGCCGGCATTTGTTGGGTGTAAATTTTGACCTATGGGTCTGCAGTTAAATTGCTTTGCGTAGTCGTATAGTATTTGTAAGGCTTGCCATTGTGGCAGGTATTTAAATGAGTTTATACAAAATAAGTATACTCGCATTTATACATACAAATATTGGCCGAACAGCTTTCAAGTGCTGCAAAAGTGTACAAATATACCACAACAAACTGAGTGGGATCTAAACAAATGCAAAACACTCTGTTTCTAAATGCCGTGGTTAGTTTGAGCACAAAACAATTACACACTCACACACTCGCACATAACTGAGTACATTCGTACATTCATGAGTACACACATTCACATTCATGTAATCTCTGCTGTTAAACAGGCAACTTAGTGTCTGCTATTGAAATTCATATGTGAAATTTGAGATTAATTAATACTCAATGACAGTACATTTTGTAAAATAACACCTTAACTTAACTTGCCGTAAATTTAAATTGCCACAAATATTCTCAATATATCGCCAACTTCATGCCTATAAACATTATAGAAAGTAGATTTTGCAAAATCAGATCCGCTATTATATAATATATTTGACACGAAAACACTTCCTATAACATTCCATTAGCAATTCAAATATGGCTGGAGTACTCTTCCAACTTTTTCATTAAGTGCTACCATTAAGTGCTGCCGATTCTGCGACCTAGAGCCTGAAACTTCCATTCACCTGATGCTAGACAACACGGCCGTCTGTAGACGCAGATCGTAGGTGAATTCTATTTAAACTTGTGCATTAAAAAATTATATAAAAATATATAAGGTTTACTAAAAGGAAATCCATTACTTTTGCATTAAATTGAAAATTGTTTTATTTGGCATAGTTAGAATGATCCGTTTCGTGTCAAATATGCTCCATAATTTTTTGGCATTTTGAAGGTAATTTCATAATGCGGCTCTCATAGAAATCCTTGTCCTTATTTCTAAAAAAACTGAGACACTCAATTTTCACAAGCTTAACTTGAGGTAGTAGCGACGAAAACTTTACACGACTAGAACTATCATACAAAACTGTAAATAAGTTTGATATTGCGAACATTTCAGAAACCCTAGACTCCGATGATGAAAATTTCACTACCAAAATCATTCGTCATAGACAGGAACAGGTACACCTTCCAACGAAACTCTCAGAGCTTCTGGTGAATCACTATCAATGTGTATGACTGCTGGACTGTTATACTGAAAGAACAGAATGCCTTTTCTAATGGCCAAAGCTGACCATTTCTGGACGAATACTTCCTTCAGACGATCTAATTTTTGAAAGTACAATTTCGAACTACGAGTTTGGCCATAAGGGAGTAGCTCAAAGTCGATGATTCCCTGCCCATTCCACCAAACACATAGCAAAACCTTGTTTTATGAATCCTGGCTTGACTATCGTTTGCGCCGACTCATCACTATTCGAGCGTAACCATTTTCACTTGAAGTAGTCGTTGTGAATTCAGATTTGGACCGATTTTGTTACAACTCGCAGATGGAATTTCGGTTCATGATATTTTCTTTCGTTAACTTTTGATGAATATTTTCGACAACTGATCTTACAGAGCATAGCGAATCTTTGACATCAGAATTAACGGAACGGACGAAACCAAAACTACACGTATTTTGCAGTCACAGTATCTGGACCGTAAAATCCTATCCACGTTTTCAACCGCCTGGCTTACATTTTCGGTATACTGTATACTGTATAATGCGGTGTATTTCTCTATGATCCTGTCCATCTTTGACGAGTGCTCAAACAATACTGAGTCAAGTAACCACAAAACTGTCCGAGAAACTTTTTAGTACGAAATCTTATCGCTCTTATAAGTATATCTTTTAGCTCAAGTAAGATTGTATAATCCCGTCAGTAATAGCACTTCTTCACATCATCGTATGGGAGAGGCTTTGAAAGAAACCCGCCTGAAATGGCGATTTCGACTTCGGCTATACACTTCGCTACTGTCTAATGCAATAATTCAGCAGCTCCTTCAATTATCTTCAACCATGTCAAAACCGCTACAGCATTTGTTGTTCGAAAAATCGCAGACTCTCGTTAAAGAAGAAGGCAGGGAGGAGGAGGAAATTCACTTAGGGTTCCATTACTGCCTGTTTCTCAATGTTAGGGCTGCCGTTTATATGAGCTGTGATGATTTAAGACATTGCTTGGGACTTCTTTTTGTATAATCAAATCACATACTTGCCCTTGCTTCAATCGACTGTGGTTCAGTTCCCGACTAGGAACAGTGACCAGATATATTTATCTCCTCTATTTACTGATATGGAAGGATCTCTCCATCTCCATGATATTTTTAATAAATCGACGGTCATCCGTCTTTATCTGGTACAAATGTCTTCATATAAACAATGATTTGAATAAAAGGTCTCGATTTATTTATTTTTAAATTTATTTCAGTTCAATATAGGTAGTATCTTGGGAGCAATACTACTTATACATATTTTACTTTACTTCTTTGTGTTAAAATAACCAGTGAAATATAAACATCTCAAGTATATATATTCCGCTTGAAAGTTATGCACCCACTGTGAGCAACATCTTCAAGTTGTAATAATCGAAGGTGTTTGCCTTCCTTGCCAACTCTCTTTCATCTATATCCTCCACAACTTTAAAGCTTAGCTGCTCGGGCTTTCTAAGCAGCCAATGCTGTGGCGGTTGTGGCAAAGCCGAAGCCGCCAATGCATTGAACGACTTGCTGCTAGCGAAGTGCGTTCCCGAAGTCGGTATAGGCCTGCCAGGTGGCGTCTTATCATAAAATCTGTCATTAGCAATATTTACGGGGAAATTTGATCGACACTTGCGATCGTTACACTTTTTCTGCACTATCTTACATTCGTATTTTTTTTCAGGCAAAGGAGGCTGATGGTTATGGTCAGCACCAGAGAAAATACCGCTTTCAGTGCTACTGCTACTGCCGTTGCTGAATCGACGAGAATCCAGTGACCATTTGTTGTATGAACTCTGCGGGCTTCGCTGTTTATAGTTACTAATATAAAGCCACTTCTTCATGTTGTCGTTATCGAAGGTAATTTCCTTCTTTGTCGTCTCCAGTTCGTCGTCACCGTCTCCTTCTTCACAGTCACCTGGCTCCGCTTTAGCAAACCGCCAATGTTGAGGCGGTTGTGGCTCGGTCAAAGTTGCCGACACATTACTGGCGCTGTCACTGTCAGGCTGCTCTGAGTCACGTGACCATGTACTGGACAATCTCTGTTTAACGCCTTGCTCATAATTACTAGTACTACGCTTACCATCATTAGACGAGCAGTATCCTCCATCGCTAATCGAATCCGTGCTCAACCTGGGTGCAAAATATTCTTGTTGACGGGGACTTAAAAATGCGCGCCCGCTAACATTTACACCACTACTCGACGAGGATGACAATGCCGTTGATTTCTTTATTGATGTTACAAAACTTACCTGCTGATTTACTTCATTAGAGTCTAGGGTTTCCGAAATATCAAAATTATTTACAGTTTGTGATGATATTTTCACCTGCTGATTTTCTTCATCACAGTCTAGGGTTTCCAAAATGTTCGCAATATCAAACTTATTTACAGTTTTGTGTGATATTTCTAGTCGTGTCAGGTTTTCGTTGTCACCACTAACGATTGTTTTCTCTTCGAAATTATCGAACGTTTCCTGAGCGATTGTCATGTTAAAGCTTAATTTACGGTTGGTTCACGTCACTATAGAATTCTGGCTTTTTAAATAATATAAGCTCTCTCTAGTGCGCCTTGCTTTACGGAGTTATTTAAAAATTAGATTCGTTTTTAAACTCCTCGTGAAGATCGTTGCTTGACACGTTCGATTCAGTACTGCTGGCTGTTTTGAGATTTCAGTCACTTAAATACAAAATCTGGGTAGATGTAAAACGCTCATGTCGAAAGTAAATGTTTTTACCTGGTTTTAGGTATGAAAGTATGCAGCTTGTTTTAGCTTTATTGTAGCTAAGGTTATCTCCACTGCTTTGTTTCAAAATATTGTATTGTTTTTAGGTTACAATTGCTTTGAATATACACATGAAATAATACAAAAGCCTATTTTTTATAGTTTTAAACAATATTGCGTCTTTTGTAAGCAGAGAAATTCCAGAGATTTACAAAGGCAAGTCGATATCAGGAGGTGTAACAGGCATATACATATTTATATGATACTTTGGGAACGGAATTTCGGTATAGAAGTGATTTAAAGTTTTTTCGAAATTTACTTACTCAAAGAAAGTTTAGTTTCAAAACCATAATACTGTTTATTTAAGCCTTCATACCAAAAAAAAAGTAACAAATAAATATTATATTAAGGTTACTGTTATGATAGACAATAATGAATTTGAGTATACCGATTTATATGTTCTTCATACTCAGCGAGTTTAAAATCTATTTCTACTTTTCTCCAGATTTCATATACGTGGCAATTTAGGGTAATCTGATCGCAATCGATTGCTATTCTCACTGAATACAAATGTTTAATTTATTTAGAAAAGATATCATCATCATATCATATTATATTTCCTGGCGATGGGAAGATAATTTTGTGTTTGTTGTTTGTTTTTACTTTTTTGTTGTATAATTTTCGATTGCATATTTATATAGAGATCGGCATGATTGGATTATTAATATTGTTAAATAATAAAGGAAATTATATCAAGGTCATTTTATGATAAATTATAATATCCAGTGCTTAGCCAAAGACCAACTTAATAATTACTCGATTTATTAGCACCAGAAAGAAGAGAGTTCACAGGTAGGCAGGGTTATGTTAAGACAGTGAGCAGCACAAAGTATGCAGCGAAATCTCAACAAAGTCAGCAGTAGCGGAAAAGTTTGCGATAAGCGGACTACTGCAGCAGATTTCATTTAGTTCCATACAAATATCAATTTAACATAACTATTGATCTGAAACACAAGCAACTAAAAGTTGAAGCGCACACAACTTAATCAACCCTGAATAAAGCTAAAATAAATCTGCCATAAATATTGTTCGCTTACATCAAACTCTCAGAATTTTTCAAAATCCGAAGCAAGGAGTACGAGTTGACGAAGTGCAGGTAATAGCAATCACAGAAAGACCGCTCATAACTCATGAAAAGCATCATTCATAGTGAACAATTCTTATACCACGATCATTTTAAATTACCAAGATTCAAACCGACCAAACCAATTCTTGAGAGCTCCAACGCCTCTCAAACACAACCTCATGAACATCAAAAAATCCATCACTTGACAGTTCTTCGCCGATTCTCAGCTCAAGTGATAGTGTAACCAGTTTAGGCAATGAAAAAATTGATATTAAAATATACACGCTTATATTATATTATATAACCAATAAAATGAGTGAAATTAAAACAAAAATAGTGCGATATTTCTTAAAATTAAAAGTGCTTAATAAATACATATATTTAGTATTGGTATAAAAACAATAATTCAATTAGTGTTGAAAATAAATGCAGCGAATTGACAGTAAAGCGAATGGACAGCATATCATTCGCCATTCGGGTTTGTGTTTTAACGGCTGTCCAAAAGTTTGCAGCCGAAATTGTTTTCATGACATAAATAATTTATGAAAATTCCCACAATTTGACAGTAATTAAAATAAAATATATTTTAGTAAAAGTGAAAAATGTGTAATAGAGTTTAACTATGTTTTAATTATAATAGATATTCGTTAATCGTATGAGATACGAACTACAAAAAATATTTTTTATTCGCATTATTTGTAAATATAAATTATGGTATATAAATAAATCTAGTTAAGGGATAGATCTCCGTGTTTTTGGAATTCTTTTGAAAAATTCTTTTTCATCTTATACAACGCTGCAGCGTTATATACTTAGTATTGCCATAAATTCTGTTACAAAGTATACAATGCGTATAGCGAGGACAAATTCGCAGAAAAAAGTGCCGTTATTTGTTATTACAATTTGTAGGCAGTGTCTACTCATATTATATAAGTATATCGTAGTACTCAGTTCAGTGTTTGCTTTCACTTATGAACAAGGGAATGGGGAGCTAAAGAAAATAGTAGTAAGGTTTACATAAGAGCGCAAAAAGTGTCTGTGAATTATATGAGTTTCTTAAAACACGTAATATATTGATCGCTTTTTCCAAAAGTCTACATTTGATGACACAAAAAAATGGTTGTCCATGGTTCGAACCAATTCCGCCATAAAAAGTGTTTGCGAACGCATTCGCAGAAATCCCGGTACAAAAAAAATGTTTTGAAAGAAAATGGTTAATCAACCAGATCTACATAAGTCAAGAATTATTCGCGATGATTTCCTCATGAAAGCCTTCCGTCGATCAACTGATCATCTGCTGACACAGCGCTTGAAGCAAGTTAGGCTCAGTGGCATGCAGTCAACGGCCATGAAAATATCCTTCTTACCTTTTTAATAAGCAAAACAATAAAATCTCCTCAACAACTTTCAGAGACGCAAAAATGTTATTCCAAGGGTTGAACGAGGTCATCATCCAACTACTGTAATGGTTTGGTGGATAAAAACCCTAAACCCTCTTCAGTTTTGTGATAAAAACTCTAAAACTGGTGTAAAAGTATACCAACAGCATGTTTTTGGACTACAGTTTATGGTCAGAGTTCTAGAACATGGTCGGCCAAATTTGACGAATCTAAAAAACCTTTGGTTTGATCAACGAATTATCGCATACACTCTAACCGATCATACTCAAATCCTTGTATTATTTTTAAATTTGGCTGACTCTCGAATTTTAAATCACATTGTCTATAAATTCGCAAAAAACGTCTATATAATTCGGCGTTACTTCCCCACAAAACTAAAAAACACAAGTAAAAAATATTTATTCTCTCCTTCGTTCAGTAGACTTCTTGAGTGATTCACATACAAAGACAGACATTATAAATAACGCTCTTCCCTGCGTTTCTAACACTATGTCGGAGAAATAATCAGCAAAATTTTTAAATCTTGAAAGGCTAAGCTTATAAAGATCGACAAAATAACTATTAAAATTGTTTTCATGATTCATGAATATAATAAATTCAGATTTATAACAGTTCTTCAATTTACTTTTTTTTATTTTTATAATCGTTTTAATCTTACATCATTTACCATTCATTTCGCTTGTAGACAAGCATAGGTTTTACTTTTAGCAGCATTTTCAAATTTTCTGTGACCAAATCGCTGTGATGAGCCATATTGTAGGGTTCCACTTCTTCAGTTGCTGGTGCGCTGCTGCTTCTTAACATCTCTATGATGTTTTTCTTCCTAGGACGTATATCCCCAACGGAGGACGCAAGATTTCTTTCGGTCTGAATGCGGCTATTCCTTTTCTTTACCGCTCTGGTGGTTAACCAATGTGCCGGTGGTTTTGGTAATTCGCAGGGAGATGGCGAATGGAAATGCCACAAAAGTCGGTACCACTCTTGAATCATTCTGGACTGATTCACCAATTTATGTTGCTGCCATACATGGTCTTCATCATCAGAGCTTTGCTTAGATGCAATGCTACTAGAAGGCAGCAACGAAATACCGCTTGTATATCGTGATCGTGATCGTGCCGATGCGACCGACGATGAGCTTGATGTTGATGATGGCCTTCTAGTATCTTTATATCGTAAGTGGCTGTAATGGTCAGCGATAGTATTTGCAATTAGTGCGGCCATTGTCATTGATCTTGTGTCTTGGTGTTCATTTTGCTCATCAGCTCCAATACATAGTATTTTTTTTAAGTGTATTGTGGCTGCAACGTCATTTGAATTCATTTCGTCTTTTAAGACTCGATTTACACTAGATTTGGACTTGTGACATACTTTGCCATGATTATGTCGGATTGCTGGCCCAGAGAAGTAGCTGCCAGTGCTAGTCGATGCTCTCGACGACATACCGCTTGTAGACGATCGTGCCGGTGAGACCAACGACGAGCTTGATAGTGAAGGCGATAGCGATCTAGAGAAACTATAATATTGGTCTTCGCTGTGTGATCTTGTTTCTTCGATTTTAGCTTGCTCATAAACACCAATGCGTAGTATTTTTTTTAAGTTTATAGTGGCTGCAACGTCGTCTAAATGCATTTCGCTAATTAAGAGTCGATTCAAATGTTTCTTTTGAATTTTAAAATGAAATACGAACTTCGATTTGCTTCTGACATCATGAAGACTAAAACGATCGTTTATATACCATTCCAGGACGATAGACGAGCTTCATAGTATACATACATATACAGCACACTTCTTCGTCTGTTCTTTATTCGAACTATCCGTCTCTCTCTTCGTTCATGTTCTTATAATACGAAACAAAGAAGACGTGGCTAAAATTTATTTTCACTAATCCTTTTTTACCGTTTTTACTGGGACAGCAGGTAAATGACCATTTGGACCAGGTAGTTTAAGGATGAAGCTTTCTTCCCAGGTTAAAATTTAATATATCGATAAAATTGTAGGTAAAAATATAATTATGAAAAAATTGCTTAGAAACAAAATTTTCATTGTGTAATTTGTAAAGGATGACATTAACCAATCCACTCCTTACTTAGCACGCATTTGCGCTTATTATGCAACTATACCTAGACTTTTCGACAACAAAAAACGACACCAGAACAGAAAAGCTTGGATTTTTTAAAAATCGATTCTGGGCTTCGATTTATTTTTATGTTTTTGGAGCGAAAGCATCAATTATTTTGAATTTAATCGATTCAAAAATAAAATATCAATACAAATCGATTATTTTTTTAGTAGAATCTGAAGCGAGTTTACCATCCTTGATTCTGATAGTCTATGTATGTGTGAAAACAAAATTAATATAAACAAAGTTGCCATCTTACTAAAATTCCCAGAAATTCAAGTTTACTAGCTTAGATCCATTCGTAAAGAGATTCACTACCCCTTTGCTTCGGCGACTCCTTTCCTCCCATATCTCATTCGAAAGTATGTTAGATGAGAAAAAAACTTTCAGGACTATGCTCGGCGACCTGGTCATGCAAGTATTTCGAAAGTTGATGTGGCTGAGTTTCTGGAACTTTCGCTGGCTTCACATATGTAGGTAAAAGTGGGCGTGAAAAGTTCTCATTGCAAATTATACTTCTACCTGTATTTCGCTACATTCATTCGCTTCACCTTCCCTCAGCTAGAGATTGCATAGGTAATAAACTCTACCAAACCTAAACTATAAGTTCTATTGTTTTGTTTGAAAAAAACATAATCGCTCAAATAATGTAACCTAAACCAGAACAAAGCTCATCATTAGCCGCTTAGGGCGTAATTAAGTTTCATTACGGTTGACCTTCGTTAATGGATTTAAAAAGGGAAAAATCATATTAAAAATTACAATTAATATAACTATTTTTACTTCTACCGTAATATCGGCATCACATTCAGGCATTTCTTACACTATGTTAAGATCCTGAAGATATGTCGTAAGAGTAACTGCGGTCGCTGCAATCCTCTGATATTTCTGGAGAAAGCGGAGATCCCCAAAAAAGTCTTCGTCTGACAATGCTGGAAGTTAATCTAGCTTCATACTCCGGAAATGTTGGAGATTCTCAACCGGTCACATATTGTCACTATCATACCTGTAGTTTCTCGTTTATCCTCGCTGTCATTTTGTGTTTAAAAGCTTATTGAATTTGGCATTACCCGAGATTCCCGTTCTGTTACAGTGTGATCCTGAGCAAGCTCCGAATCTGGTTAAACCGTAACAATAAACCTGTTCTATGTTCCTAATGTTATAAATATGGTATATATAATATAGTTTTGTCTCCTTTCCTAGGCAATAATCACCGGTTTCTAAAAATACGTTGATTTTTTTAATCAAATTTTTTAGCGCAGGTAAGAAAGACGTTTTTTGCCTGTCTCTTATAAAAACCTACGAAATCTTAACAAAGTCATTAGTAATAAACTGAGCGCGCTAAACAGAAGTCGTCAGAAGGATTAACTTTTTTTTTAAGGTTAGAGAAATCCACTGTAAACAAAGATTAATGACTCAAGAATTTGGGAAATTCACGAAGACTAAGGATCGATTCTAATATACCGAGCATTTCGAATAACCAGAACACCAACCGACCAATTCAACTCATGAGCAGTTCAACAACAACCGACAATCGGAGAATGTCCAACACATGGTCAATTAACTCACCACAGCTTATTAGAGACAGCACCAGTAATGTGTCGACGGCTCTGAACTTACCACAACCACCAGAGCATTGGTTGCTTGGAAAAGCGAAGGGTGTCTATAAGGAAGAGCGTAATGAGGATGACTTGAAGATAGCGAAGAAAACAAATACCTTCGATTATTACAACTTGAAGAAGTTGCTATATATTAATAACTATAGACAGCACGGCGATCGGAGAATGTCCAGCGAACACGGAGAATGTGACTCACCTCAACCTAGTGACAATAGCAGTAATTCGTCAGAGACTTCAACCTTGCCACAACCGCCACAGCATTGGCTGATTGACAGAGCCGAATATGTCAGTAAAGCAGAGGGTAGTGAGGAGGAGCGAGATATGGCAAGAAAGATGAATACCTTGGATTATTATAACTTGAAGAAATTGTTATATGTTGATAGCTATGAAGGGTTTGGAGACTGTAACTCACCTCGCAGCAATGGGTCGGTGGTTTCGACTTTGCCGCAACCGCCACGGCACTGGTTGCTTGGCAAAGCGGAATATGGCTGTAAGGAAAAGGGCAGTGCGAAGGAGCGAGCGATGGCAAGGCATGCAAGTACTTTCGATTTTTATAATTTGAAGATGTTGCTTTCAGGCGAATAATATCTGTAATTAATTTAATTATATTATATATGAATATATTATAATACTGTTACGTCTATGGTATACTTATGTTCAACAAATATTGTATTTTTACTCATAAACCAACGCAGGCTTAAATTAAGTAGATTTTAAAATAAAGTAAAGTTTTAATTCAAAACAGTTCTGTAAAGCTTATATTTTGGATGAATAGAAAAAATGGCAACTCTGTCCATCAATTAACTTACTTGACTACTGCGTTAAACTCTCTTTTTTGATGCCCTTATTGTAATGTGCGCTGTGTCACATGCACATACTTAGGCTGTGGAATTTCTAATTTTCTGAAGATGGCAACTCTGGTTGAAATAATTTTAAATTTTTTAACTTTATTTCCATTCATATTTGTTCATTAGTTACACATTTTTACAAATTTTATTGTTCTAACAGATGACGCTTTAAAAAAAATTCTCCTGCAAGTTTATTCACCTAAATAATGCGGTAATAATTACCATATCCGATTTTTCTACTTGGCTAATTTTCCTACTCTGCGCTTTTTCTTCTTTTGTAAGATCAAAATGCTACCAAAATGCTATTTCTTACATTAGTTCGTGTTAGTTTCCTACAGGGTATACATAAGGGTGGGTAAAAAAAAAACGATTTTTCTTTTGCTTAGTACTCTGAAAAATAAGTTCTTAAGCACCTTTACGAAAATCTCTCCAAGTAAGAGCTCTTAGTTGTAACGGGAATGTCTTTCGCTTTACAGTTTTCTATTTTTTGCTTATGATCAAAAAGAAAAATTCATATCTCACTTCCAACTACTTGATTTATAGATCTCATTTTAGATTTTGTAGGAAATTGCATGCTCTACAAAATGGTCTCTAACGATTTTTCGTACGTCTAACCGTTTAAAAGATATTAACGGTTAAAGTTTGACTCACCCTAGCATACGTGGTGTAGTAATAAATCACTACTTCAACATATTTTCTGCTTGTTTGTTTTCACTATTTAACTCAACCGGCTATAGAAATTTACGGTCTATATGGTATTTATGTCCATACGTATATATGTGTGAACTTTTATATGTATGTATAAAAAATACGAATATTTTAGTGTCCACAGCAAATTTGCTTTTAAACTAATTTAATGAAATATATGAAATTATTTTAGAGAAATGTGTGCGTGCGTTATTTTAATTACTTAAAAATGATTGGCAAAAGGTTCGTGTTTAGTATCAGTGCAATAACAATAACTTAATTAGTATTGAAAATAAATGCAGCGAATTGACAATAAAACGAAAGCACAGCACATTATACTCGGGTTTCTGTTTTTATCGGCTCTCAAAATGACAGCTAAAATTGTTTCTATGTCATAAATAAGTTATGGAGATTGCTACAATTGGACAGCAATTGAAATTAACTGTATTTTCATAAGAGATATACGAGTAAATATGTTAATGCGTAATCATACTGATTTAATAATAACACTAATTTACAGTTATTTTTTCGATTATGATGTTAGAGGCTATTCTTGCTAATTTTGGGTTGCTAAAACCGAATATGATAGTAAAACTTTTCTAACACATAGAATTTTTTCATATGTCATTCATAAAATTACAAAAATATTGGTGGAAAATTTTTGAACTCAAATTCGTAATCAAGACAACTTAAATACCCGCACAGACCTCTTAGCGCATCAGTCGTAAATTTTTCCTTCAGGTTTGTTGAGCAGTGTAATCAATTGTCGTCAATTCAATATATTTATTATTGGCTAAAATCTGGTCAATATTTACATATTGTATTTCCTCTAACGCGCATACCTAATAACGTCGTACAGCGCAGCGAAAACGCAATTGCTGCTGTCGAGCAGAGTATCGAAGAAGACCCAAATAAGCTCATCGGCCATCGCGCGCAACAACTAGAGCTGTGCTCATACACTTTATGGAAGATTTTGCCGAAGGATCTTGGTTTGCGGGCTTAAAAAAATCAAACTCATGCAAGAATTGAAGCAAAACGCACATTTCGGGTGAATGGGCCCAAAACGAACTGACCACCGATCCCGATTTTCACACGAAAACTTTGTTCAGCGATGAAGCTCACTTTTGGTTGAATGGATGACGATAGTCCACAAGCCATTGTTGAGACATCGTTACATTCTCAAAAAGTCACTCTTTGGTGTGCTCTATGTATGGGCAGAGGAAATCATTGGGTCATATATCTTCATAAAAAAGCCGTCCATAATGTTACAAACAATGGGGAATGCTATAGAATCATGGCTGATGTGGACGACCTTTGCTTAAAACAAGATGACCAATGAAACAATGAATTTATTGAAGCAAACTTTTGGTGAGCGCGTAATACCGCGTCGTGGACCTACAGCGTGGCCTCCAAGAGGCCTTTGTGGTTTATGTGAAGTCGCTTGTCAACGCAAATGAGGCCGAGACGATTGACGCCTTGAGAGAATATTCGTGTAATTGCTGACTACGACCCCAATTGCGGCAAAAAGTGATCTTAAATTGGGTCAAAAGTTTGATGGCGTGAAATTCACTGTATCTTCAATGAGCAATGATATTGGTAGATATCTAGTTTCTTGTTATTCTGTTGGATTCGAAGTTGTCAGATAGATAATGGATACTAATTTGACTTTCCCTAATAATTTCGATGGTATAAATTGTGGCAAGAGCGGTTTGACAAGAGTTGAAGCAAGTTGATTATTATTCTATTGTTTCAATATTCCGAACATGCGTTGAAAAGCTGCTCTCTTTTTGGGTCTTTTTCAGTATACATACATATGTCACTATTTTTAAGTGTGAACAACAAAAAGTTTTCACTCGAATATGTCGAACTTTTTGCCTGAAAAAGTGTTTTAGCGTAAAGTTCTTCTTCATTAGTTAAATATGAAGAAAACCTCGGCCAAAAGTCAATATATTTTTTTGAATCTTTTTGGTGAACTTTCAGTCTATCGGCTTGTGACTGGTGTTTTACCTTTTGTTATAACTCAAAGTTTGTCTCTTCTGAGTACCATTTGTACCGGCCGATGTTGCGCGTGCTCTCTGGAATACGGTAAAGATTTATAAATTGCCAAATAGCTGTGAAAGTATTATAGCTTTAGTTTGGCAATACTTTGAGTAATACTATTGTACAAATTATAGTTGTACAAACAACACAAATGAGTAATCTCTACTTTCAGGTAGCGCATTGGGCACTTAAATACCTAAAACCTATTACTACATACCAAAACCACATATTATTTGCTGAATTTTCACCTTGATACTAATGCAATAAACTTACTTTATTATAGCTATGCCGTAAAAACCAAAACTCTTTGATTATCACTTTTCCCATTTGCTTTACTCTTACACGTTTCTTGGCGTCACATTAAATTTGGCTGCATGTCAGTACAAATAAATTGAAACAGAAAAAAATAAAGCGCAAAGTCAGACATTAAAAACATAAAAACTTTCACAATAACCACACGTTACACTTACAAAAGCTCGCTAACATATTACAACAAATCTACTTATGTGTGTGTCTTCATATATATGTATATGTGTGTATGTGTGCATAAAATTACATTACGACCACATGTTAACAAGGCTATGCATACATCTATCTGTATTTGCCGACAATAAAGAAAGCAGAGTTCTACGTAATGCCGAAAGCCAAAAGCGAACACAGTCAACAAAAAGAAAATGTGTCAAAGTAGACAAGCACGCACACAAATACACACGCAAGCGCACACATACAACCAACACATACAAATGATGGCATAAATGAGTAGTAAGCGCACTTTTACCACTTTCACCCCACTTTTTTCACATAGAATTTGGTGGCGCTCACACGCAGCGTATGGCAGCCAAGTAGCTGTGTGCTTTAGTTGGGCTGATGGCAAAGCAAAAAAAACCACAGTCATGTCAAATAGTTTTTAGAAATTTATACAATTTGAAAGTCCCACTTATACTTTTTGCGTGCGTTTTTTTATGGCTCGCACATTACCGGCAACCTTGTGCCTTGCACCTTGCACTTTGCGAATAAAAACAAAAAAAACAACATTTTTGCATTGAAACTATAATACCCTACACAAATAAAAGTTTATATGGTAGCTATATGATAAAGGGTTCGGATCTGAACAATTTCTTAGGGAATTGTACCGTTGGTTTAGGTAACAGTACATGCCGAATTTCGTGTAGATATTTTGCCAAATAAAAAAGTTTTTCATACAAGAACTTGATTTTGATCGTTAAGTTTATATGACAGCTATATGCTATAGTAGTCCGATCTGAACAATTTCTTTGCTGATTATACCGTTGCTTTGGCGAATAATAGATGCTGAATTTCGTGTAGATATCTCGCCAAACAAAAAAGTTTTTCATACAAGAACTTGATTTTGAGCGTTCAGTTTATATGGCAGCTATATGCAATAGTGGTTCGATATCAGCAATTCCGACAAATGAGCAGCTTCTTGGCAAGAAACGGACTTATACAAATTTTCAGAATGATATCTCAGAAACTAATATATGTATATCATGGATATATGTTATAGTATCTCCAACTTAACATAATACACCCTGTTTAGGGTATAAAAAATGCATGCAAATTGAATAAAATTAAACACCAATATGTGTGTGAGTATGTGTGTTTATGCTGTCTCCTACATGTAACAAGCATATGAATACGACTGTCGCAAGGCGTTGTCGTGCGGTGGCCGGGCAGTACAGGGTGGCATTGAAATGGCTGACAATATCGTCAGCATCAGTGAAATTGTGTGCGGTCGAAATAAAAATCTGCATAAATTTACAAGTTACACATACGCCCTGGCGTGCTGTCGACCAACCAACCTACCCGCCGACCAAGCAAACAGGATCATAGACGACAATTTGTTGGCAACAAGAAAGGAGTGAAAAAGCTTACTTAATTTAAAGCCAGCAGCAGTATGGATGACAGACTGTGCGTCGATTTGATACTGCATAAATTTTGTTTATCTATCCAACACAAACACACACACACACATACAAATAAGTACTGATATTTGTATAAATACCAGATTGTTTGTGATAATACTTGCGATGGCATGAATGCAAGTGAGTAGCAGCCGCAAAAAATACATATGCATAATAATTTAGTGAAATATGTATTTTGAAAAAGGACCTTCATTGGTACAGTGGCTGCCAAAGCGACAACCAACCAAACAGCTAAGCAAACGCTAAGCGCACAGACAAGCAGACTAAGTCGTTGCCGGCAGCTTAGGGAAAGCGAATGTGCATAGCATTTACATATTTGAGTTTTTATTGTTATTTTATTATTATTGTTATTATTATTATTAGATATTCTATTTTGTACATCATCTCAATTTGTGGTTTCGTTGTGTGCGGCAGTATTTACAAAAAAACAAAAAAAAAACTGCAGAAATGCGCAAAAAAGTTTTCACAACTACGCAGTCGTAAATATTTGCGTTTTTGAAAGTTTTTGAGCAGCGATGTCGTAATGTATTTTTGAATGACATAATAATAAATGAGATTCAAACTAGAAAAAACGTTGAATACGACTGCACGGAAGCAATAATATCCTTCACAAGTGTCTTTCTTATAGCATAAAGGGTATAAAAAGATCATTATTTTGATTTTGTTCGTTCAGTTTATATGACAGCTATATGCTATAGTGATCCCATCTGACAAATATGTACGGAGATTGTGCCTTTGTTTTGGACAATAATCCATGCTAAATTTCGTGAATGTACTTTGTCATATAAAAAGTTTTCCATACAATAGCTTGACTTTGGTCGGTCAATTTGTCTGTCAGCTATATGATATAGTGGTCCGATATTGGCGGTTTTGACAAATGAGTAAGAAAAAGAAAATTTCATATCGATATCTTAAGAAATGAGAGACTAGTTCACGCATATGCAACGCATATGGCTAAATTAACCAGCTCGAGTCACGCAGATCTTTATTTACATATACCTATACTTTATAGGAACTCTGATGTTTTCTTAGTATGTTAAAAACTTCCTGGCAAACTTAATTTACCTCATTCAGCATATGAAGTCAGCAGTTAACCCGAAGAAGATCCAGTAGACGTCATTTTGTACGAAAACTTCAATGTATCTTAGGGTGTCCGTTATTGCTCAAGTTGATTGCTAATTGCAAATACCCCTGTAATTTCAGTTTTCGCCTTAAAAATAGGGTTCCAACGTTAACAAGCGCTTTATTTTCAATTTAAACCGTGTCTAAAACATATTTCTTTTCCCATGTAGATAATATGAAATTTTTTAGTATTTTGCAATAAGCAAGTAAATCTAAGACTTTAAAAAAGTAAAATTCTAATAGAAAATTTCCCGCTCTACAAAATAGCTCTTAATAATTATTTTGATAAAGATATTCCTTTAAAAGTTATACGCAGTTAAAGTTGTACCTCAAATGACCTGAGCATTCATAAGTGATTTATACATTCTATGTTACTCATACGACATGGTGTACTAGGTATATGAAGACATTTCAGTACAAAAAGAAAATAGACTAGTGCAAAAACAAAGAAATTCCTAGTAGGTTAAAACACAATGGAAACGAAAGATAAATTAGAAAAAAAATAAAGTAAAAATATTTTACGGGCAATATGTGGTCGGAAAATGGAAGGCGAGGGGCGTGGTAGAATTTTTAAGGGTTAAAAACGGTTTATCTCTCTAGAGAAACGTTGTATAGCAATGTTATAGCTAAAAAAAAGATCTATTAATTTTGAACACAAACTTTTTTCGCATAATATCAAAATTTATGTGAAAAATGCAAATAATCAAGTTTTTTTATTTTAATTTTTATTTTTATCATATACAAAAAAAAAATGTTCTTTCATGAGATTTTTTGTAAACTTACCTGCTTATGTCCTAAATATACAAAATTTTTTTAAATTTAAAACATTGAGTAGGAAACCTTATTTCGACTTAAAATCGAAAAAACACTAATTTTCAACCAAAATTCTCAAGACATAATTTCAGTTTTAGTTTTTAAGTCAGTAGACTTTATGTTTGTCGAAATCTCTACTTACTGATGGTATAAAAAATATGGTCATTACTATGGTAAATTTGTTCATAAAATGGAAATAAGAGCCCGCTCTCCAATATAAATTCATAAGATCATTATATGGTAGTCTTACTACCCAAAACTTACTTTAGTATCGAATAGCGATAGTCATCTTCACCAAAAATTTCTTAAGTATCGAATGAGTGAATATCTTCAATTTTAGGATTAATATTAAAATTACTCAGTAGCTAACAAATATTTAAAAAGGAGTCGCTCTAGAAAATTTTGCATTTTGCGATATTCTACGAGAACGTATAACACTACATATACATATATGTATATAAAATTCTCATAATTATGCTTCTATAAATACTTAAAAGCCGTAAGCAAACCACACAATCAACGGTATTCTGCGCAGCAAAAAAGAAACTGCTGCGTCAGCAACAACACTCACACATGCATGCTTTCAGCTATTTACTTAATATACATACATACATGTGTGTGCGTATATGTGTTAGAGCGCAAACATCTGATGGATATGTTTTAATTAAAGCCGCCGTTGTTGCCGCAAAGTTGCCGTTGCAGATAGCTGTTGTTGACACCGCTTAATGAAGTAAACAAGCAAAAGAACTCATCATAGCAAACCGCAAGCACAAATATTATGAATGATTTTGGCTGCTCGCATACACTACATATATACTATATGAAAGCTTAAGAAAATACTCAACAAGTATGAGAATTATAAATATTTCAGTAAACTAAAAGACAACTTCATATAGAAGATTTATTAAGCTAAAAGTTGTTGCTTGGAATTAATCGTGTTTTATGGTGATTAAAATAAAATGCTGCAAAAAATAAATAAATAAGTAAGAGAACTGCTAAGGCGAAAGGAAAAAGAACAGAATTTGAAGTGAGTGCTTTGAATTTCATATTTATGATCTAAAATATCTAGGTAACATTAAAGTGAGGCATAAGATAAGCGTAAGAAGCTCCGGCAGGTTACTTAGTAGCAGTCGGAATGAATCATTCAGCTCCGTGACGGGGGTAACTTTCGCATTCGACTGTGCCGTAAGTGACTATTACAAATATCAAAATAAAAACAAATCGCCCACTGCAAAATCTGGAGTATACGGAGTGCGTTGTCATGATGAAACAGCACTGTTTGTTGACAAATTAAGCCGTTTTTTCTGCAATTCGGCATCGCATTGGCCCAATCGTTTGACCTAGTAAAGTCGTGTTACCCTTTTACCGTACTCCAAGTAGTATCACACCAAGTAAACCTCAGAAAACGGTGACGTTGCCTTTCCAGCGGACAAGATAATTTTTGACTTCTTCGCCGCAGTGAAATCTGTGTATTTAATGGTGGATCGAATAATGAAGGCTTCTTCTATGGCACACAGATTAGACAGAAGACAAATTCAAACTAAATGACTACAATTCAGTCTTTCAGGTCGAAAACGCCAACTGGGCTTCTGTTCAAACCAGCAAATCTCTTAATCCTCTAGTAGATAGCCAAGAGCAATAAATGCTATCCGTACGCGCCAACAGAAGTCTCATTGCTTACAATTCTGTAAGGAGGTAAATCCATCTGGGTACCAAGCCATATAGAAATAAAAAGAAATTGAAAAACAGACGAGTTGAGCCGCTCGGATGCAGCCGGGAATACAATCCCCTTAAGCTGCTCTTGACTGTTCAGATCCATCAAGGACTGCTTAAAGCAACGGATTCTAGAGGAACAACTCAGATCTTGGAACACTACCAACACTGGGCATGCTACACAAGAACTTTGGGGTAGTGTTAATGACGGAAAGACCAAAAAGCTTTTATTTTTAGGAAAGAAAGAACTATTTGTAGGGGTAATCACAGAGCGTCTGCTGCTAAGATCCCAGCTTCAAATACTTGTTAAAATATAATCCAAAGAATACAGAGCAGAGAATGATGAGCCTCTTTTATCTTTGTGATTCTCCAGGCTTCAGTCGGTTGAAACGAGATATATTCCACGACTTCTAATGTTCCAACTACAAAAATAAAAGGCAGTTAGGTGGGAAAAATCATTATGTCAAATCCACTCAATTGCTGATTGCTTATTTGCTTACAAAGGAGAATGAGCTATATTATGTCTTAAGTATGGTCGCCTTAGGTCAGGCGCCCCTATGCCTCTCTTTTTTAACCAACCGACCAACCAATACCAACCGAAAGATATGAAACGACAACCCATATTCGAAGTGTTTCAACAATCACCACTGTGTATAGATTCAATTTGCTGTTTTTATATATTTTCTCAAAAACAAAAAATCAATTGACACTTCAAATCCGAATATTTATTTTGCGTTTTATAAAAGTTAATTTCTTGTATGAATTTTTTCGCTGCAGACTAACTTATAGTATCGTTTATTTGCTCATTTGGGATGGCGACAAAATTTAAAAGTCCAAACACAACAATCAACATGACGGCACAAACCGCAGCCAAGTACAAAAGCACACGTTCTTCAACCAGTTTCGGCGCATCCACCACGCGATCCATCAACTCAACGTCGAGCAGTATCAGCTCCTGCAGCAGCCGACGCAGTTGCGACAACAGCAACGGCAGTAAGGCCAGTAAAAGTTACACGAACAACAGTAATGCCTTTGGCGACAAGCGCTTCAGCACACGCGCCGCGGTCAACGGACGCACCACACTCTTCCGTTCGTTCATTACGTCGGGACCGCGTGTACGTCAAGCAATGCCGCAATCCAATGACTTTGCCTACGATCTCTCTAAAGATGAATCGAAATTTATGGGCACATTTAAGGGACCCATGAAAACGGTGCCGGACAATGAGCGTGAGCTGCTGAAGAGTGGTCAACGCGGTGCCTACTTAGCGTTGCGCTATGAGCATTCGCCAGATCGCAAATACAACTATCCGGAGGCGACTAGCTGGCGTATTGGCTGGTTTCATAACCAAATGACGCGACAAGGTGTCGCCATTTAACGGTTTAAGTTTTGTAACTAAAGTTTTGCAAACATGTGCTGTAATATATCTCTAAATTCAGGTCGATGGTCCTGTTAGTATTTCAAAATCAATCTTTTGATGAACTGAGCTGATCGGTTGTGTTCTTAAAACCGTCAACGAATTGACGTTGAAATGCTGCTCAGCTCATCGACTGAAATTATTTATGTACATATGTATGTGTAATTGTTTCGTGAGTTACGATCTTCTCCTACTAAATTCATATTTTGTGACAAAACCAATAAATTATACGAAATTAGATGGTAAAAAGTTCTGATAAAATTTAAATTATTTGTGGAACCCGAAAGTTTGGTTAGGTTAAGTTCTATAGCTGATCAGGAAGATGAGGCTCATACTTGAACGACTTTATGAAACCGAAAAATTGCAATTAGGCAACACAAAGTGTCTTGAACCCATCGACCAGACGTTTTATTTTTATTCTTAACGGGAATTCACTTGAAACTTAGAAGGAATTTTTGTCTTGAACTCTAGTCTAGAAGGAGGTTTTGAAATAATTCTAGCTCGCCTTCTTCCAAGCAACTTCCACAACTGGCATCTGGTAAGTTTTTTAACTTTACCGTGGCGACTCCGATTGGGCAATAACCCGTTAAAAGCTCTACAACTAGGGAGAGGCTAATCTTGCTAAAGACCAAGAGCTCATTAAACCTTTTACGAGTTACTTCAAGCAGAAGGATCTTACAACTGCACAGATGTTAGTAGCTAACAGGTTGATGATAGTAGTCTTCAGACCATTTGTCTACAAATCTCCTATTACCAAATAAATCTTGTAAACTTTGAAATCTCACAGCAATGACCGTGAGTTTCAAGACTATAAACATTCAAAAACCAAGCCACACATAGAACTTACTTTCTTTTTTCACTTAAACTCAAAATAGATAAGATTCAGATTTCAGAAATGCAAATCGCTCCGGAAACTGGTGTTGGTCACTTCCTCCAACATCAAGCGAAAACGGTTTTGGTAAAATCGCGGTGATCCAGCGCAAACGGTGGCCAAGTCAGTATTCACGATAAAGGTTTTACTATGTGTTTGGTGAGATTGGCAGGGAACATCTGCTATGAGCTGGTCTCCTACAGCCAAACTCTGTTGGAGTTGTGTTCTATCAGCACAATGCCAGGCCACACACATGGATAGTGACTTCTCAGAGTCTGCAAAAGTTTGGTTGGTAGGATTTTATGCATCCACCCTATAGTTCGGACTGGGCACCAAGTGATGACTACCTGTTCCCGTCTATGGCGAATAACTTTGCTGGTGAAAAATTCGCCTCAAAAGAAGCTTTGTAAAAATCGACTGTACAAGTTTTATGTCAATATGTCTCATAGATCATAGATAAAGATCCTTACGCTTTTAGCGGGGTATATAAGATGATAGATCAATCTTGACTGCACTTATTATCTTCAAATCATCTTGTGGATCAAATATTTTTTATAAATCAAATTAACATATTTATAAAAATAAATCCAAAATATATTAATATATGAGCGAGAATTTACAAATTAAATGAGCGTATACACATTGCGAAAAATTGCATTGATTATTATGTTTAAAAATTGATATATATACTCAAATCCTTTCTTCTTCTTTTGCTTTTTAATCCTTCTTTCCTTCCAATTCGGCTTGAATTTCGGCAAAAGTTTTTCCTTTCGTCTCCAGTACGCAAAAGTAAATATAAATACCGCCGACAAATGAAATAATAGCGAAAATCGCAAAGCAAGCACCACCACCAATAGATTCATTGAGAATTGGGAAGACTTGAGTGACAATAAAAGCGCACAACCAATTAGTTGTGGCCGATATCGAACCGGCAATACCCTTGACATCTTCAGTAAAAACCTCAGCCATGAACACCCATGGTACGGGACCGAAGCCGACGGAAAACATTAAGATATATATGCAAATGCTGAGCAGTGGCAGCCAACCCAACCCTTCCACGGACTTTTCATCCTTCTCTTTCATAAAGAAGTATACCGATAAGCATGCGATGGAGATCACTTGAAAAACGGATGATAGTAATAAGAGCGGTATGCGACCATATCTGTCGATAATGAATAGGGAAACAACTGTTGCTGCCACCAACATCACGCCTATAATAATTGTGCTATATCGTGGATCCAAATCGCCGGCTGTAGACTTAAAAATGCTTGTAGAATAGAAGATTACCGCATTGATGCCAGAAAATTGTTGTAGTATCATCAGTGATATAGATAGACCTAGAGCTTTGAGCGTGACTTTACGAGATAGTGCTTTGCCCAAATTCCCGGAATTCTCCTTGAGTTTAGCATTGTCGGCCTTCATTTCGTTAAACTCGGCGCTGAAATCGTAGTCTTTGCCACGCAACCATTCCATTGATTTCTGTGCTGCTTCCATACGTTCTTTCTTTATTAAGAAAATCGGTGAATCTGGACAAAATATAAATACGACAGCGAAAACTAGCGGCGGTATACTACATATGATACTTAACAGAAAGGCTTTTGTAAAGGCGCCAAAGACGAATGCAAACAAAACGCCATTGGTGATGAGCAGCTGAAAGAAGCTGCCGATAATGCCGCGCACCTCTTTCTGCGAAATCGCCGTGCAATACATGGGTGCACAAACGCAGAACGAACCGCCTGCCATGCCGGTCAAAAAGCGTGCTGCGAATATCATCATTTGATTTTGCGCAAATATCATCAGTGACCAGCCGATCTCGAACAGTATAACCATGAGCATCATAGTCCATTTCGGTTCGATTGTCGTTATAAGCACACCGACGGGAAAGCAGACAAAAGCTGCACCCAAAGTCATTAAAGAGCCAGTCCAGGCGTATTCTTTCGTCGAGAAGGTTATACCGTAATCATTTTCGCTGGTAAATTCATCTTGCACCGGCGCGGACCAACCTATTGTCGCACCACATGCAAGTGCACCACCAGCCGATGCCAAGCCCGCAAAGTATTGACGATAAACTTTGGCCATTATTTCGCGTATTTATAGCAAAATATATAAGTTTTTTGTAGTAAATTATAAAGATGTTTAAGTTGTATGTGATAAATTTATTGCAGCAAAATGGCAGTTTTGAAACAATTGCTGAAAAAAATTTTCTAAAATTGACTGGAGACTGAATAGTGGCTTGACGTAACTTTACATTTAACCCGTTAAAAAACGGTAAAGGTATTCTAAACCTAACATTATATAATATACCGTTGCTTTTTCCTGAACGCATATGACAGAAAAAGAAATATTCGGAGGACTTTGGTTACAATTATCAACAGTTTGACAGTTCGTTCCGTTTATGACGTAGCACGTCACAGTCTTGTTTACTATCTCGTTTGCAATCCATAAACGAAATTTCTGAAAAATTTATTAAGGGTCATGTTTTGCGGTACAAAATTTGTATGAATTGCGGTACATTTAATTTGCCGTCAGCGTTTTTGACAATGAGAACGAATCTGTCAATTCTTCAAACTTCCTTCCGCTTCCATTATCACCGAGTGTTTGCGAACAGAGTACGAATGTTAATTTTCAAAAATAAGAATGTGTCTTTTGATATATTTAATTATTTACGCTCACTTTTCTGATCAATCAAAAATTATGAGAAGTTTTTACAATATTTTGATTTTTCTTTGTTGTTGTTGTTGTAAATCAATAATCCCTAAACATTCCGATTGGTTTGCAATATAATTTGGCATATATAAATTTGGTCAGTCATTCCAAAGAACGTATATTATATTATGATAATTAAAAAAATAAATATTCACATAAAAATAACTTTTAAAATTTTCAGCGTAGGAATCGTAGTTTTGAATAACCCTATTTCGCTTAAATATTACCAAAATACTCTTAAATATCTCAATTATTTCATGTAGTTGGCAGTGCTGTCGGCTGTGAAAATTTCCCAAAATAGTTGTGTATTCCATAAACAGCTGATTTATTTTAACAAAATTTACTTCTTTGTAATTTTCGGTGTAATATTTTTGCTGGCGTATAAATTGATTGATTAAGACAAGTGCAGAAATGGGTAGCTGGCGATTGGAAGTTTTTAAAATGACGCTGTACATGTCCTTTCCTGTGGCCATGTTTCACATCTTCAATCAACCGGCTTACTTTGAGGAATGGGTAACCAAGACAAGGCGTGAGTTATATCCACCAGAGAGTTTAGGTCATCGGGAAGAGATACAAAAAGCCATAAAAGATGTGCGTGAAAAAAGAGATAAAGAAATGCTGAAGGCATTAGAGGATATAGAAAAGCGTGGAAAATAATTGTTTACGACAAAATAATAATAGTTACCACAAAAGCCGTGTGTTATACTAGAATATTATATAAGGTTATTTATGTTTTTTGTGAGTTGCACTATTTACCTATAATGAACATTACACATTTGTTTTTGGAATATGATTGAAAGAATAATTAATTATCAAATTGATTTTTATTTATTATTTATTCATAAATAACTTTTATAATAAAGCTTTAATATTACTCATAAAAATATCTTTCGTGGCGGCATTAAATTATATTTATAAAGTACCATTGCCAAACGCTTGGCAGAGACCTGACATAAATGTTACAGGTTTTCACTGAAGTATACGTCTACTTGGAAGTAAAAATATGTATATTTTTTTTATATCATATACAACATAGTCTTAATCTATTTACTAATAAATTCACTTAATTCAACTTAAATATGCAAAGAATATTAGATAACTAAGTTCAAAAACGAAACTTTACCAGAGTGCCTGTTTTCAATGAAAGTGTACACGCATATATATTTCGCATTCGATCAAACAAAAAAAATGCAACTAGATAATGGCTTCTAGCCATTGTTAATATTTGTTGCTTTTACTGATATTCGGACTTTTGCACTCTCTTCTAGTTCAATATACTTTTCCAGTATTTGAAACATTTCGACTTGTGCTTTAATTTTGTGACGACGGGATAATTGCTTTAAGTATACGGCTATAGATTTACCAAAAAGATCATCTTCCGTTTCCGGAACTGTCACATTCGAATACACATTGGTGTCGGACTGGTTTTGGAAATGTGGTTGTTGAGGTCGTGTTTGTGAGTTACTATATAAATTACGCGTTTGCTTATATTGAGTTGCTTGCGACACAGCAGTTGGACCTGTGTTAATCACCATTTGCTGTTGTAATTGATTTTTAGAAAATGTGTTCATTGCACGGTTTGTATTGTGAGGCAGCGCAGCTGTTGATATAATCGGGGCAGTCATTTGTTTTGAATTGACTTCGATACTGGTGTGATTAAATGTTTGTGGTTTTACATTTGCTTCAGTAATAGGTGTTTCCACACACTCCTCATAAACATCTTCACCTGCGTCCACTAAGTAAATTCATTATTAGCAAAAGGCAATAATATCTAGTTTAATTCGAAAAGCAATTACCGTCAACAAATTCAGGGTAATCTGATTCCATGGTGTTTTCATCGATTTTACCGTCGTAAGTTTCTGATTGTTCATCATAGTTTTCTAAATTGTAGTCGTCTTCTTCCTCGTTTTTATGTATATTTTGTTCACCTTTGTTTACCTTTTGTTCTTCAGCACTTTGATTTTCATATTCAATAAATCCATTGCGTCGACGATTCCTTAGTTAAAAAGAAATGCAAAATATATAGAAATTTAGTATTAACTATATAGTAAATCATAGCAACCTTCGCTTTCGCACAAATTTGCGTAGAAAATCCATTTGGCGAAAAAAGGGACTATTACCATACTCATTCTTCTCCGGATGCAAACGCAATTGTTTGAGTTCGCGTGAATACCGATCACGCAGACAAGTCCAACGTCTTCTTGCCTCGGTTGCTGTCATCCCTACCATGGCACCAACTACTTCCCATTCCTGCTCTTTACGATAGGCGAGACGAAAATCTAGGTTTCTATGATCGTACAGCGAAGGTGTCATTCTCACACGTTCAATTAATGCCATATCCGAGTCTTCCAATGCACGATGGGCAGTCATGCTCAATAAATAGTGTCTCCGTTTTTTAGTTAAAATATACTCCTCAACAAATTAAATACAATATTATTATTATTTATTCAACGCATATATAAGTATATGGCAGTTGTTTGTTTATCATTTTCTACAATTTGTTGACAATTTTTACGTTTCACCGTATTAACAATGGTTGCGTGAGAAATTTCGCTACAATCATAAGGTTATGTTGACGTCACATAAATGTTAGCGGTAATTTCTGCGGTGGATGTCGCTGTCAACGAAAACGTAAAGTAGAAATTTATTTTTTTCTTTCCAAGTTTTTATGTTAATGACAACGTTCTTTTAACGAACGTGAAACTTTTATATAAAAATTATCTATATATATGGAATAAATTTTATTGTCAGCGAATGTAAATTAAATATAATATAATTTACGTTCTCTGTTGTATATTTCCAGCGCGCCACCTGCAGTCAAATAAATGTTAGCAAATGTCAAAACGGTCGTTAAAAGAAAATTAAAGAATCGCCATTTTACTTTTCAGTTTCCCTGGAATAGTGTGTGTGTAAATTTAGCCGAATTTTTAACCGCACAGAAATAATTAACGCGATTTTTGTGAGAATAATTCACAAATTTAGTGAAGTTTTTAAGGAAACTAAGTGAAAAACGTGTGCTAGACATTAAGTTGTTTAGTTTATTAGTGCAAAGAGTGTTATGAAGTGAGTGCAATTGGTCGAGGGAGTAACCAAGAAAAAATTTGGCAGTGGCTCATCGGTGTATCGTACTCGTGCGAAATGGAAAACGTCGTCGCCTTTAATAATGAGGTAAGTAGCGCAGGAAAATATAAAAAATGCTTCGAAAACTGTTGGCGTAACTTTAATAGTGGAAAAATTATATGTTTCGGAATACAATAACTTGAGAAGGATTTTACGGCGCCTTCGACAAAGCTGTGTCCAATTTGTGATACGAAGAACGGTAGTGAAGCTATTGTGAATCTACATATATAGCGCACAAACTTTCTGTTACGAATTATTTGTTCTAATGAGTGAATTCTAATGCACATTTCTTCCAAGGGCAACTAGCAAGTATGTAAGAATCGAATTTCTAGTCAACGCTAACTATTGCCCGTAGTCACTGCATAATCCGCCAATTGTCATAAAAAGTTTTCTCATTGAAAAAAAAAAAACAGTGTGAGTGATTCAAGTACATATATCACATAGAATTCGAGTTCGTAAAATGATCAGTGGAGTCGATACATTAGTTTCTTGTATCTGATTTTCTTATCCTTTAAATTGTATCAATTAAAGGTATTTACAAAAACTTGGATTAAGTTTTTATCAACACGATGCTTAAAAATATTTAAGTTCCAATTCGTCAATTTGACTACAATGTGCTTGCATTCATATAGTGTGCACCGCCGACACTTTGAGGAATCTATTAAAAATGTATATAAGTACCTACAGTTGCAGACCTGTAGTAAACGTTTTAGTTTTATTAAAACATTTCTTGTATTTTCGAATCCTTTTGGAAATTTCGTTCATAAATCAAAATAGATTATCGCTTTTTTTTATAAAACTCTACATATTTATAACTTAATTAATTTTTCAATTATTACAGCTTTCCAGCCTCTATGACCAGAAACCGCCAATTTCCAAGGCCAAAATGGCCGCCATCACTAAATCGGCGATGCGCGCCATCAAATTCTACAAGCACGTCGTTCAGAGTGTTGAAAAGTTCATACTCAAATGTAAACCCGAATATAAAGTTCCCGGACTGTATGTCATCGATTCAATTGTTCGCCAGTCTCGTCATCAATTCGGTCCCGAAAAGGACGTATTCGCGCCACGTTTCGCGCGCAACATCAAGGAAACATTTGCGAATCTTTTTCGTTGCGCACCCGATGATAAAAGCCGTATTATACGTGTGCTCAATTTATGGCAAAAGAACAATGTGTTTGCACCAGAAGTTATACAGCCAATTTTTGATTTGGCGGATCCGAATCATCCAATTTACCAATTGCCACCGAGTGGTGGTACTGGTGGACCAAACATGCCGGGAAGTAATCTAAACGATATTGCAACGGGTGGTGCAAATGGACTAAATCTATCGTCTACCTCTATGGATATTAGTATGAATACAACGGGACCCAACGATGATAAGCATGGTGGAATGCCAGATTTATCGGTAAGCTATTGGTTTTACAATTATAGGGTCTAAATTAAATTAATAGAAGATCAAATTCACAATTTTGTTAAATTGTTTTATTTTTCTTCTAACTGTACATGCATACTAACAAACTGCCTAAACATATCAATCAAATTTAATAAACCAAACAAAAATAAATGAACGTTTAACTATATAGACATTGAGTCACGAAAAAGCTCAGAATATGCTTGATAATAGTACATTGCGTCAGTTGGAACATATGCAACAATATCTGAAGCGTCATAGTGCATCAGCAACAACAGCTTGTTCCACTAAGGCCACACGCGAAATGCGAGAATCGCGCGATTTGCGTGAAATACGTGAATCTCGAGAACTACGTGAAACACGAGAAATGCGTGAAACACGAGAAATGCGTGAGCCGCGTGAATTGCGTGAAATGCGTGATGTGCGCGACTTGCGTGATTCACGAGCAGATAGAGATGCACACGAGTATGCTCGTCTAATAGATAGCGGAGCTGGTGGTGGCGGAAGTGGACGAAATGCAAGTAACGTTGGAAATGTTGGTGCTGGTAGCAGTGGAATCGCCAGTAGCGGCAATAAGTCCCAACATACTGAATCCTATATAAAATATGCAAAAAGCAGCCATGATGTTATACTGGACGAGAACGACGGTCTAGACAACAACTCACCGCAGCATTCATCCAAACTAATCGATGTAAATTTTCATATGCCTACTACTAGACTGTTACTTAAAACGTCACACATTATTTGCCGCCAATTGGCGTACAAAATTGTTTGTTTGGGTTTTTTTTATATATATTTTTTTTTATTAGTTGTACTCATCAAAAGAGAGACTTCGATTTTATGTGTACAAAAATTATTATTTTCACACAGTTTCTTTAAAAGCAGTATTTTCAGTTTAAAAATTTTTGAAATTATTTTCATAAAGCGTTAATTCTACATATTTTTATCGCTTTTCTATTTTTTTTTTTTTTTTGTGTTTTAGTTAAATAGGTACACACATATACTTTCTTTCGTTGCCCAATTTACAGCTGTTTATGTTCCAATAGTGAATAAATTTATATGAAACCACATTAGATTTGATACTGCTTTCTTAGTTTTAAAGTATTTAAAATTTATTTTATATATCTATATTTTTGTATTGGAGAGCATAATATTAATTAATGATATATATTTTTTTAGAATAATAACTTACAACAACTGCTTAATGATCCAAATGTCTTGCTGCAACTGCAAACGTTGCAAAATTTCCAAAAAATGAAACAGCAAGAGGAACAGCAATACAAAATAAACGAAATGCGCATGCAGGAAAAGGAGTTTGAGAAACATTTACAAAATGTTTTGAAGGTACTGCAATATTAATTACGCTTGTAATGTTATAACACATTTTCCGTGTTTTTATTTTTTTCTTTTCTTTTAAATTTTTAATTTTTTACAATTTAGACGCAAACTGGTGGGCATGGCGTATCCGCTGAGTCAAATGAGTTCAACAAAGAAGTGGAATTCGTATCGGTCGAGCAAAAAATTGAGGTATATACTTTTTGTATAAATAATTTTAGATTATTGTAATGTTTTAGATGTTTTATTTAATTTTCAACTTTACAATAACTCTCATTTGACACAATAAAACGAAGTATTTTATGCAAAAAAAAATTTTATTTAAAAAATGTTAATTTATTTAAAAAAATATTATAATTAAAAAAATTTAAATTCTTTGAAAAAATATAATAATATTTTTTTATTTATTTACAAAAATTTATTTGCAAAAATATTATAATTAAAAAAATTTAAATTTATTTGAAAAAATATTATAATTAAAAAAATTTAAATTCATTTGCAAAACTATTATAATTAAAAGATGTTCAGTTTTGTTTAAAAAATATATTTGAAAAATTATCAAAATTAAAAAAATTTATATATATTTGAAAAATTATCAAAATTAAAAAAATTTTATAATTAAAAGATGTTCAGTTTATTTGAAAGAATATAATTTAAAAAATTCAATTTATTTGCAAAAATATTATAATTAAAAAAATGTCTATTTATTTGAAAAAATATTGTAGTTTGAAAATAGTTTTTTAATTTATATTAAACTATTTTTATTATATTTCATCGAATTGCATAAAACACTTCGTTTTACTTGTGCTGACGTGCGGTTGATTAAATTTAAATTGAAAAATAATAATAATTAAACTCGACGAGATCACTGAGCGATTGATCAGCACCAATACCTGATGTTGTTATACCCAAGCAAAAGTAAAAATTAGACTTTAATGTGTAACCTGTGCAAGTTGCAAACATATTTAAATTCAGAATTTAATTAACGCTAACCGGTAAAATAAGCTGTGCGCTTAAATTTCCCCATAAAACTATAAAATGTAAAACCGATCAAAATTGAACAGGGCGGGCAGCACTACCTAAACAAATTTTATTTTAAAAGATTTAGCACAATTTCTTAGTATATTTATATTAATGTATGTTGAATAGTGTAGCCATGAATAAATGACACACTGATTTTAACCGTTAATTTGAAAATTTGAAAAACTTATATTTTGTGGCTTAACGCATACATACGACCGACCCATGCGAACAGTTAAAAAAAAAAAAAAATATTTTTCCATTAAAAGATAAAGCAATAGCATGAAAAGTACGTAAATTTTTTAAAAATTGGCAAACAAAAAGCAGTAATTGTCAACTATTTTTGATTAAAAAGTCCAAAAAATTTTAACAAATTAAAAAAAAAAAATACCTTTACTTTTATATACCTACATATAAAATAAAAATTCGAATTGAATTGACTTTGACTCCGTTGGGCGTCGGAATTTCCATGCAACGGCTTATGCGCATGCGCAAAAAGCGTTGAAAAGGTAAGATTTAAAACTGATGAAATTCTGCCGGACTTGGTGTGAGACGTATAACAACGTTTGCGTAGCGATTGCTGGTAAGTTAACTCTACACAATTTTTTGTTTAACTTTAAATTTAGAAAAGTTATAGAATCAATAATTTACTAGCACAATCGAAATATTTAAGCGTGTAAAAGTAAAACAAAAATGAAATGTGAAATTTGCTCAAAATAACTACGTAAATCATATATAAAAACGTAAATAAAGCGTAAGCGTGTAAAATGTACACAAATAATAAGAAACACACGTCAACACGACTCTATGCCACGCCCTACAGCCAAACCTAAGGGGCTTGCTTATTGAAGTAACAGTTTTCTTATATAAACTATTTATTTCAACTGCGTAAAAGCGAACATGTCATCCAACTCAGCAAACACCTTCATCCACA